CTAAAGAATAGATATAACTTAAAAGTAATTTTCTGTATATTAGAGAGTTTATTGAAGTGAAATATAAACATAAATTTTTGAGGGTTTTCATTAATCTTGAACGAGGGGAGGGATACAATTTCCTCGATGTTCCATTTCTAGCCTAGTCTTGTGGAGCGACATTTAATGGTACTAAATGAAAGTGGTGTTTTTATTACATACTGTCACTGAATTAAAGAGAAATCTTATATGTTTGGAAGTTTAAGTTATTAACGTAGACAATGTAGAGTTAGAGGTTTAATGGGTTACTCCTGTCTTGGATTCTGCAAGGTAAAATCCTCATAATTTAAGCTGACTCCCCCCCCCCCCCGAATCACTGTATCTTCTACACCATAATATTTTTTTGTAATTCGAGCCAATCTCATTAAATATGATTTTGCAGTTCTTTCTTAGTTTAACTTGCTTCAGATTTACAAATTTCATTGTTATGTTAAGGTGAGACAGAATTTTTCGGGATGTAAGTAAGCTTTTTGTGGCCTTTTGTTTTTGTAGTGAAAAAAAAAGCCTTGAGTATAGAATTTTATTGGTTTATCAGCTGGTTTTAACCGCAGGTTTTTGTGCTTCAATGAAGCACATTTTGAAGATTTCTTTGTTTTATTAATTGTTTGTTTTAGGTTAGTCTGTTTCAGTGGACGGGTTTTACAGTGAGGTAGATCGTTTCTATGATGAGAACAAGAAAAAGACAGGGCTGTATTTACTTAACTCTGTATGATGAATTAGAAATTGCGGTTCAATAAACGTAAATCTATCAATCTGTTTTATCCTTCCATAGCTACAAAAGGTTCGTCAACGTAACATTTCTGGTTCTTTGACTTCGTCAACGTTACATTTCTGGTTCTCTGACTTCGTCTACGTAACATCTCTGATTCTTTAAGTCGAAGGATCCAAGTTTGCATCTCTATGGTTTTAAAGTTTTTCACTTAGGTCAAAGATATATTTCTTCTTTATATATAGAAATCACACTCAACGTATGAGTTACAGAGTTTGTTTTACTCGATGAAAAAAGCTCAATTTTGGGACGTAAAGATTTGAAAAAAGGACCTTGATTAATATATTTCTAAAAAAAAGAAGAACTTTACTTCTGTATAATAAAATTAATGACAAAAAAAAGGTTTTTAGTTTTACTAAAGGTGTATCTTTTGCAATTTGGTTGTATTTTTCCGGTTTCCACCACCATCGTGGGCAGAACCAAAGCTATGAGTGGCGTCTGTCTGTTTGTTAGAATACAATGGTTAACGGTATGTGGGCTATTCAGAGTGATCTTAATATTATTATCCTATAATTCTTAAATTCACTAACACTCAAGAGCACCCAAAAACAGCTCAGATTGGTAGTCCCTAAGTTACTTGAGAAATGCACCCCATGGATGATCCTCTCCAACAACCGACCTTCAGCTTATCATTTAGATGCGAGTTTCAGTTGAGATAAGCCAATTTCTGGTCAAACATGGTATACAATTTCCTATGTTAATGTGCGCTATAACTGTTTTATTTTTTAAAATAAGACGTAGACTGTACATCTCAAATGTTCTGTATTGCCTTACTCGTTTTTATTTATTTATTTCGAAAAGT